ATAATCTATTTTTTTTTGCTTCTATTTTGCCCTTGGTGCACCTTACTCATCAAATGAACATCATCCCAGTCGAGAAGTGACTTGACATTTGGAGAGGTTCTCACGTGAGTGAAGTTCAGTTAGTAAGGAGTTACAGAGTATTTAGTTCTGTGAGCGATGATTATATTGTTTGACTTGTTGCTAATTCCTCCAATAATTCACGAGTAGACAAAATGGATTTTTTCCATGACATTGATTAGTTATAATCTGAAATATTGTCACTGGCACTGTGCTCGAAAGAAAGTACTTTTTATTTGATCAAATATGCATTAACATGAAAGCACTTTTAGAACATAAAGAATATCATCATCATCTTCTACTGTCCTAATAGATTATTAACATCGAGATGATTGATAAATTTATAAGAACTAGAAATTCAAATAACTATACTAATAAATTGTTTGTGGAACTCATATATCTGATGAAGAAGAATAGTGAAATATAAGCTATAAAGCGAAGTTTCCTGGCTTATCTCAGCACCTTCCCTTCTTCGATAAGAACACTGATCAAAGTGTGACGATGAAGTTATAGATCAATGATTTCAACACTGTTGACAACCATAGCAACTCAGGCAGAGGCACTCACAATAAATTTTGTCAACTTGGGAATAGCCTGTGAGTATGTTTCCATAGCAACTAAAGACAACAAGCACCAGACTCATTGTCTATAGTTCCTTTATGACAAAAAAGGAGCTAAATGGTATTAACACCAAGAGTTAGAATGCTCCCAAATGTTCCAAAGTCATTCTTGAAATTTAAATGACTGCGATATATATTTGACTGTTCTAAATAGCAAAGTGTTTGATTTTTGTTCAGATAATTGATTATGTGATAGGCATAAAAAATGATGATTTGTTTTGTTGAAATCGTTATGAGAACAATATTAAAAGTATGAACTGATCAAGCTGTAACTATTCGGAATAATCAATATCAGTATTTCCAAGGTTATCAAGATACATAATACTACATGGAGATTAGCTGTAAATATAATAGATATATACAACAGACAATCTTTGTCAGATAAATAACTGGTTACAATAATATTAATCATTGTTACTTGTGAAAAACGAAACAAAAAGAATGAAGATAAATAACAAGCAAATGGCAATAAGACAAATACACAGTAGATCCTAAGAGAAAAGAATAAAAGAAAAACAAATTCTGATCGAAATAGAGAAATCAGTAAGACAAATTGTTTGTCTGACAGTTGATTATTCTTGGAAAGAAACTATCGTCTTTCATAAAATTTTTCACTTTACAATAATTTGTACTAGTATAAAAAAGCTGAAAAAGATGTATTATGAGTTCTATATTTTAGCTTCAAAGGGACAATGTTGACAAAGCTTATTCAGACTATAATTAATGTTTTTTTCTGAAGTTTTGATTATTAGAATTGTGCTGTCACTTAATAAAACGTCTAAAGTAATAATATCTTGAAAGAGAAGAGAAACAATCGAATACAGATAGTTTTGTCTTTTGAGCAATTAATCTTACGATTAGTCCATTTTACATACTGAGTTCTATGAATCGACCAAATAAAAGTCACTAAAAGCTATAAATGTATAGATACTTTTTCAGTTTTGTTCTTTACAATATAGAGATGAATATGCAGAAATGTTTCAACTGCTGTACTAAAATAAACTACATCTAGCTAGAAAACATCAGATTCGAATGTGATCAAATCCTAGATTCATAATTCCGATGAGTTTAAGTTTCATAGTGCCGCATATTGGTGAGACTCATGTTTCAGTAGGTTACACGTTCAGCTGTTCTTGACTCTCGTGCTTTATTAAGTCTAAAACTAGGCGACGCTTGAGATTTTCGAGTCTTCATACTCTACTGCTTATGCATATTGTATGTCGATGTACTTTGACAGATAACTGTATTGTTTTTTTCGATCGTATGATCACAACTTATTGATAATTTTTCAAAACGTAAATTGGCTAAAATAATAAATTTTTGACAAAAATATGAATATATTAGAATAATATACAGTGTGATTTTAATAAGAAAATTAATCTCGTGTCGAAAATGGCTTGCATTCTGTCTTATGGATGAGAGATCATCTTGAAACTTTGTATGATACTTAATAAATAGTGTATTTGATATAACTTTAGTATTTCTTTATAATTTGTATTCATCATGAATATTCAGATGTATCAACTTGATTCCGCTATCTCTAAGAGATGTTGATATAAATCTAACTTATACTAATAAGAACTCTTGATTTGACATCACACAAGAGTAATTGAAACTATTCTTTTAAACAAAAGATCCAATCTTTCATTAGAACTTGAATTAACAACAAATGAATGAAGAGTGAAGAATACTTGTGATTCTATATTAACTTTCTTTTTGGTTCCTATAATTATAAGATCAAAAAGAGTTTCAAAAAAAAAATGTGATTCTTTTTTTCTTTTAATTATCATACTGTATTTATCTTTAACATGAAAACAAGAATTGCAAACTTTTAATATTAATATAATTTTCTTTTTACTATATATGCTTACGAATACTATGAATTGTAAAAATAAATAAAAAGAGTGTTATTGTTTTTCGTTCCATTTAGACTACCAATTGCGTGTTCAACATTTGAGGATCTTCATTTATACTAACTACCATCTGTCAACAGTAGTTCGATCATCGTAAAACTTGCTACAAGCATTGGTTTTTAAAGATAAATCACACGAAATCAAATTCGTTAAGCTTTTGCTTCAGAAAATATTTGAGATACTCTAAAAAAATGTAGTACCATACGAAACTTTTTTTTGCAATGAAATCGAAATCTTTTTTAAGGTTTCGTAAAAACTCAAGGTGGGTTCAAAATGATTGTCGAAGCTTCAGGAATATTTTTTGAAGATTTCAAAAGTATCATACGAAACCTCAAAAAGGTTTCGAATTCGTTGCA